TTTTTTAAGCAATATGGTACAGTTTGCTATACTAAGGTAAATTCCTATTTTACCCCTATCTAGCAGCAGGATGAGTGTCAGTGACTAAGGACCTCTTCACACAGGGCAAAAATGCCGCATTTTGCCGCTTTATTTCGCAGCTTGGTCGAGGCCAGCTGTGTGCCATCACGCCACACATGGCAAGCCCTGTCCATTTTCCTCCCAAAGTAGAGATGAAGCACTGAAAGGAATTTTGTCCTCCACCACAGGGAAGAAAGTGTTGTTTTTTGGTAGCTCTGACGGAGCTACTCATACTTTCCTCCCCAAATCCCCATGTGATGGTAAAAAGGGTGGTGGGGCAAAACACATTGCCATGCATTGCTGCCCTTTCTGCCATGTGACAGGAGGAAAAGGGTGCCAAAGCACCCTCTCCCTTCCTCTCCATGTGAGGGAGGGTGCACGGGGTGCCATGAGCCACCCCATGGACCTTCCTTTTCACCAGTGATTGTCAGCTCAAAAGCATGGCCCGAAAGGGCTGTGTGAAGAGGTCCTGTCACAAATGTGTTTATTCACTGGAAGAGGCACCTAAAAACTATTCAACTGAAGCTGTTATACAGCTGAAACTATTATTCCACTACCACTCACAAAGAGTTGTAGTATTGGAAGGGGGGTTGATAGGACAATTCTCACAGGTAGCCTTTCATTTGGGTAAGATTCTGGCCCTTATTGAGAATATGGCAGGATATTTGTGCATGCTTCAAATGTTTAGTCTGATGTCATTATCTACTAAGCCATTCATGATGAAACCTTTACAGGATGCAGTAATAAGAAATGAGATAGGATATCTTCAGTGGGAATCAGTAGTGGTCATGGAAAAATGTCAGTTATAAGATATGTTAAGTGGTTGATAACAGCTGCTAAAACAAACTACCAGATAGGGAAAGTGTTAAGTCTGTACAGAAATGTAAGATATAAGAAATTAGAATTGACCCTTATTGTAAACTGCAGCTGGGTTGACTTCGATTTATAATGATCCTACCAATGAACGACCTTCAATTCACCTTCTAATCAACAGCCCTGCTTAGATCTTGAAGACCAAAGGTCACAACTTCCTTGATTTCATCTAACCATCTGTAATGCAATGTTCTCCTCTCACTATTGCCTTCTTTCTTACAAGCATTATGGTCATTTTTAGTGAAACATGTTTTTGCATGATATATGCAAAGTACAACAGTATCAGTTCAATCATTTTGCTACTAGGAAGGGTTCGGGCTTGATTTGATCTAAAGGGTAAAGGTTTCCCCTTGGCATTAAGTCTGGTTGTGTCCAGCTCTGAGGGGTGGTGCTTATCTCTGTTTCTAAGCTGAAGAACCCAGAGCCCCCGGTGACGCAGTGGGTTAAAGCTCTGTGCCGACAGGACTGAAGACCAACAGGTCGCAGGTTCAAATCCGGGAAGAGGCGGATGAGCTCCCTCTATCAGCTCCAGCTGCTCATGCGGGGACATGAGAGAAGCCTCCCACAAGGATGATAAAACATCAAATCATCCGGGCGTCCTCTGGGCAACGTCCTTGCAGACGGCCAATTCTCTCACAACAGGAGCAGTCGCTCCTGACACGACAAAAAAAAAGCTGAAGAACCAGAGCTGTCCATAGACACCTCCAAGGTCATGTGGCTGGCATCACTGCATGGAGAAACATTACTTTCCCACAGAAGTGGTACCTATTGATCTTCTCACATTTGCATGTTTTAGAACTGCTAGGTTGGTAAAAGCTGGGGCTAACAGCAGGAGCTCACCCCACTCCCCAGATTTAAACTGCCAACCTTTCGGTTAGCACCACATTTCAAATTCATTTTCTTTCTATAATTTTCTTCATTGTTCAGCTTTCACAACTATATATAGATTGTTTTAAAAGTACCTAATAAGATAACCTCATAGAAGCTAAATTGTCTGGAGAAATAGTAACATTATTTATTTATAAATGTCTTTGAAGCGTAACTAATTGATGACTTTTAGGCACCAATACATTCAAAATCAAACAATTTATTGGTTACTTCTCTATTGGGATACATTTATTTTTGTCTAAGATTTTGAATAATGATTTCATCAGCATGCAAAATATCTAAAGTCTCAAGTCTAATGTGTTTTGATGAAAGAAGTTAAAAGTAGTATTATCAAATATGTGAAGAATTGAGGTATCCAGGTTGATCAATCATGTTCTCTCTTCTCCTATATGAATTTCATTTTGAAAAGGACATAGGAGCTGAAACATTTTAAAATTAAATAGCAGCAAAATGATCGGTTTCAACCCTGTTGTTAACTTCAAATCTATGTATGTCAAGAGTGGCAAAAAATGCAATATAATCTCATATAATCTATTTTGTGCTAGCTCCCCTGTTGATAATATAAGACACCCAATGTTATGTCACGATGGGTTCTGTTAAGACGTTGGGAAAAGTGCAAGGAAAGGACCTCTAAAATCCTTGTGCCTGGCTAGTTTATGCTTGCATCTTGAGAAATCCTAATAACAAATATGACTTGAGAGTCTTGTCCAAAAGTATCCTTTATTTGTTTCAAGCTAGTCCCAATTCTAGCTGTAAATTCTCCATACAGTAAGTGCCTTATGGAAAGATATTGTTACTCCAGGAGGCTAAGGGTTTCAGATAAACTATTCTAAATACTATTGGGACCTACATTTTTGATAATCTAGATGGAAGATAAGCATTTATACAAATAAGAGAACCAAAATATATGCCCTGAAAAAAGAAAGCTTACATAAATTGCAAAAAAGAAGTAACCAGTGGTTAAATATCAAAGGAAAAAAGAAAGAAAGAAAGAAAGATGGATGGAAGGCCACCACTTCCACAATATCTCATATATATTTTGACAGTTGGGACAGAAAATGATTGAAATCCATGAAGAGATAGTAAATTGGTATCATATTTGTATACCACCCTTCTCATCCCTTAGGTGACTCAGGGCAGTTTAACACATAATATAAAACCCTAACAAGAATACTAAAAGCATACCTCATTTGCATCTCCTAATAAAAACATTGTCCCATCTCGTCGTCCAGTCGTTCCAATTCCTATGTCTTTTACCTTGCATTTTCAAACGCTTGCTCAAACAACCAAGTCAGTTGTCATCAAGTCATTATCATCCTAAGTACCAAAGGTTCTATTTGAACAGGGACTTTTTGTTTGGAAAACAATTCATGCAGGAAAGGTATATTGCGAACCCTCATGAAGCTTTAAGATATATGCTTGTAGTTGTCAAATCATCTTTGCTAGTATAGAATCAATACAGCCCCCATACAGATCCCTCTCTCAGCATCACTAATGGATACTTAATTCAGTTGAGAAATAATATCCCAATGTCCCATCCATTGAATGTTTGCTTTAGCATGCTGTATGGAGCTATAGTAAAGGAAATGGTAAAGTTTTTCCCTGACATTAAGTCTAGTTGTGTTCGACTCTGTGGGGTGGTGTTCATCTCCATTTCTAAGCCGATGAGCCAGCGTTGTCTGTAGACACCTCCAGGGTCATGTGTCCAGAATGGCTACATGGAGCACTGTTACCTTCCCGCCAAAGCGGTACCTATTGATGTACTCACATTTGTATGTTTTCAAGCTGCTAGGTTGTCTGAATGCCGGGGTTATTAGCAGGAGCTCACCCCGCTCCCCAGATTTAAACCGTCAACCTTAGAGTCAGCAAGTTCAGCAATCCACTGTGCCACCGGAGGATCCCTGTATGGAGCTACACCCTCAGCAAATTTCCTTCCATTATTTCTGATACTACTTGTTTTCTTATTGGTCTTCTGTGTCAGTATATGAGATAAAGAAAGTGATTGCAGCTCCTCCTTTGAGCAAGGTTCTAGAGGAATATATGATGCCTCCAGAAACATTAAAATACTTACCTGAGTGGTAGGCCATGATATTAGCCAAAGTGTTTACCCGGATTAACAATAAAGGTATAATTCCATAGGGCTGAAGACAGGGCCGTAGCCAGAAAAAAATTCGGGAGGGGTTGTTGAGATTTYGGGGGGGGGGGTTGAAAATTTCACGGGGGGGTGTTGAAACCTGCCTCCTAGCTCACGCTGAATCAAAGAGCACAGCAGGKGGCAGAGCAGCCTTCAGTAGCCTGCAGCTCCACCCCTGTCAACCACCTCCACCAAGTCTGGCCTCCTTAATGRGAGCATTCAACACACACAYMYCCAACTTGGTTGCTTYACTACATYGGCTATTGCTGCAAGTAATGACAGTGTGAATAAATTGTCAATATTTGCCTGAGATAGTGCTTGCAGTTCTGGAGGGACTCTTAATTTTTTGCATCTCATAGACATAGCATGGGGATTTGGTTAACCAATTAAAATTCATGAGTAAAACAGGTTTTTTTAAAAAAAAATGAAACTTTGGGGGGGGGGTTGAACCCCTAAAACCACCCCCTCGCTACAGGCCTGGTTGAAGATAATGTAGTTGTTCCTATTCACGTGAAGGATGATACACAAGAGCCCAATAATAATAGACTTATTAAGATTCCAAACATTGGCTCTAAGTTATAGAGGAGATATCTGTTAGATAAATTGAACGACTGAGAATTTACTAACCATCTCATTCAGTCTGAACAGTTTGTCTTCATCAAAGGGCAGAGTAATATTGATTCTTGTTTAAATATCTATTGAGATCTACTGGAGCAATCCTTAGATTTTACATCACTTCAAGAAGTTAACTGGTTGTTCCACACATAAAATATTTCAGAGCAAAATCACTGCCCATATTCTGTATGGTGCTGTCCTCTAGGAATGAAATAACTTTCAAATGACTAAATTGGAAGTCCTTCAGAAATTGTTAAAACTTCTACAACTCTGCTTCAGAAAGAGGTTTCCTTCCATTACATGTCACATTCATTTTGCTTTATCTAATGTGAGTTGTATGTACATAGGCATAACAGCAGAAACTTCTTATCATCCAATGAATGCTCCATACATGTCAGCTGATTACCAAGCAGAAGAATAAAAATGACAGGGACCAACTGCTGCAAAGTAAAAGAAACATGAAGTCACTATTGGCTGTAGACTTGATCGTCATCACTTTTGTTCTCTGTTCTGCTCGACGATTCGACAGGTAAAGCTTTTTTGATTAAATTAATATAAGGTAGGGAAATTGTTTCCATGTCTACTCATTCCTTCATTCTCTTTTCCAAAGTGCCAAGGTGTTTCGTGTAAAACCTGAGAATGAAAAGCAAGTGAACTTAATGAGGAATTTGGCAACTGTCATACAGGTGAGATGTTTTGAGCAAGCATCTGGTTTCTTATCCTTAAGATCTGATGACTGAGTATCTTATTTTTAAAAAATTATATATGTTTTAGAATGACTGAAAATACCAGAATTTTGAGAATTTACAATGTGAAATAATACTGGCCTTACTCAAAACCAGCCTCCAGGCATCTTTATAATTAGTACTGTATATACTGGGCTAGTATATAATCAATTAATGTAACTTTCTTGGTATTTATTTTTAATTTGAAATTTACCAGTAGCTGCTGCATTTCTTACTCTTGGCTTATACTCAAGTCAATACGTTTTCCCAGTTTTTTGTGGTAAAATTAGGTGCCTTGGCTGATATTCAGGTCGGCTTATACTCAAGTATATACGGGTAAATGGTAGGACTTCTTTTTCTTAAGGTGCAAATTTCAAATAATATCATAATGGATTATCGCAATACATAAAAGGGATAGATACACATAATAGTAACACCTAAAATTAAAGCTGTTTTCTTTAAGCAAAAGTATGTACTGTATGCACTTTTCAGGCATAATAAAAATTGGTATGCTAACAAGTTTCAGTGCCTTCGTTTCCCTGTCTAACAGTCCAAAGGAACTGTTGTAGAACTGTTGTAGAAGTTGTAAAAAAATTAACAATATTTCAATAAGAATAACATCTAGATAAATGCTTGTGTGGGGGACCACCACTGAATACCAAGAACCATATGTTGTATTTCAGAAGAAAGAAGTGGCAAACCTCACCCTGAGTCTTCCTTGCATAAGAAAACCCTATGAAATTTATGGAGAGGGATCACCCAAAAGTTGACAGGCAACTTGAAGGCACATATCCACACAAAACTTTAAAACTAGACTTAATGTCAAGGGGAAACCTTTACCTTATTTACTTTTAATCAAGCGTCTTGGGTCATAGAGAGGAAAGCTGATCATTCCATGAATTCATTATAAGACTTTGCATTATCATACATTTCCCAGTAATCAGTAGCAAAAACAGAGGCCACCATTTGTCAAATGAAAGAGCAAAGTTAAGAATCTATTCAATTCTTAAGTTTCCAAATTTTAAATCTGTGCATTTAGAGATCCTCTCATGCACTTGGTTAGGCTTGGCCACACATCCTATAAAACAGATTTATTAGAACCAGGCATTTCATTATCTCATTACAACACCCAATAATTGTACATCTTCAATCAGTCAAGAGCCATTGATTCCTTTAATCTCTATCTGTCCACACTGCAGAGCCCTCTGCCATGCATTCAATCAGGAGTGTGTTTATTTGTGCATATGGCTGGCATATCTCAAGGCTAGAGGCATACATTTTTAACAGTTGAAATGCTCTTGACCACCATACATGAAAAAGGTTCCTTTCTTTATTTTACACTTCCAACAGGGTCCTGATTGCAAGTTGTCTATTTTGGCTAAGACAGCTGGGGTTGTGTAACATCTGTTGAACATTTTACATTAATTGTCTCTAATTGAAGCCACCACTGTAAATTTGAAGCCTTTGTTCCACTGGTTTTCCCAAATGTCAAAATCTATGCTTCTACCTAGATCTTTTGCCCATAAGATCATGGAGGTTTTAATGCGATTATCTTCTAGGTTGTAGTGTAAGATATATTTGTATAGTCTGGCTATTAAACCCTTTCCCCCTTTATCTAATATAGTTTCCAGTTCTGATTTTTTTTTTTAGGCAAATTCCCTCTTGTTGTCCTTTTTTATTCTTTTGTATAATTGGTGATAGTGAAAGCAGTCTTTGATCTTTCCCCCTCAGTGCCCATTAGCCATTGAACCTTATAAGTAGTTCCCCGTATATTCTTACATCATTCTTTTAGGTAGGTTTTGCAATAACTTCTATTGGTCTCAGCTACAGGGATGTTTTTGGTTCCATATCTAACTTGTACATGTTCCAGACATCTATTAGGCTTCCTCTAATTATGTTTATCAAAAGCCTTATTTAATCTCTCTCTTTCATATCATAGGTATGCATGCCACCATTTCTAATTCCTTACCCTTCTAAGTTAAGTAATTTTACTGTATATTCTTGAATTGTATCCAGTCTCTGGGCCAGTTCATGCAGGTGGCTTCGTAGTAGGTTTTTAAAACTGGTAAATTCAGTCTCTCCCCCCCCCCCTCCCCTTGGTATCAATTAAATTCTTGTAAGCAATCCTGTTGTTTTTTCTCTTGGCCCAAACAAATTTAATAAAGTCACTTTTCCATAGATTAAAGATTTTGGTCCCTTTAATGATAGCTATGTTTTGAAATAAGAAGAGCATTTTGGGGGGTATCATCATCTTAGTTATTGCTATCCTGCCCTAGGATACCTTTGTAAACCTGAAGCAGCTCAGTAAGAAGATAACTACTGATAAAAAATCAATTCCCAGCTGTATTCAGATTAACACCAATAAAAAATTCCTGTTTTTCATTCTCAGCCAATTGACTTTTGGTATCCAGACTCAGCATCACAAATAGTCAACCAGATGGAAGTGGATTTTCTTGTCAGTGCGGATCAGACCAAAAATGTGGAGGCTCTCTTGAAGAACAATAACATCCATTATGAGTAAGTCATACTTAATTCTTTCCCTAACAACCTCCATGTTGACTGGGGAGATCTGCAGAGTCTCAGGATGGAGAAGGTTGGTGTCGAGAACATACATGGAGCCTTTAAAGAGAAGGTAAAATATTTTGCAACATACCAGGAAGGGATTATTTTGGAAGCCACCACAATTGTCAATCTATCTATCATCCCCAAGATTCCTAGGCTGCAACCATGGCTGATAACGTAGCATAAAAGTTATACACATCTCTGGTTCTCTGTCCTTATGAAACTCATTTCAGATTATATGGAGAATGAAATACATTTTCTATTCTAACATAATTAACAGATCAATTTCTGTGCAAGAAATTCAGCCCATATATTCTTATTTATTTTGCTTTTTGTTTAAAAAACGTTGTTACTGATGCCAGAGAAAGCATATGCCTTCTATGACTCAGATACAGAAAAATACCACTGAAACTAATGGAATAGATTTTATCACTCAATGTGGTTTGCACATCACATTCACTGGATAATTTTAACAATAATACAAGATTTGCAAATTTTATTCTATATTAAATTAAAGCAGACTATGTTGCTAAGTACAAGTTTACAAATGCAACATATATGCATGGGTTAGAAATTTCCTACAGCAAGCGTGACTTGGTTATTCTTCCTCTGATTCACATAGGATTTTATTTCAAAACCTGCAAGAAGATATTGATAAACAACTTGACAACAAAAGAAACGCTACATCCAGACACAGCTATACAAAATATAATGACTGGTCTCAGGTAATTAAAGAAAACATTCGTCATCCCCAAATGGCACTCTTAAAAAGCTAGACTTTCCACTCCTAAGATTCAGAGAGTTTGTGCTCCCATGTTTTGAATTATACTAAGACATAAGACATATATCTTATGAAGGATGAATGTCAGATGTAGCCATGAAATAAATGATTACATATCTCAGATGAAAAATAGGGGGATTGCTACCTTGTTGATCCTTCTGATTCTTTCCAGTGACTTTCAATACAATTGATCATGATAATATAGTCAACTGTCTCCATAGAAGGCATAGTGTTCTACTTGATCTATTCTATCTTCAGGATCAATTCCAGATTGAAGCACTGAATTATTTTTATTTAATCCCCTATTAAACTGTGAAATATCACTTGACTTATAACTCAGCAATATGATGTGCCAACTAAAAAAGGCAATATGATTCTAGGCTGCATCAATATGGATATAGTGTCTAGAACAGTGTTGCTCAACCTGTGGGTCCCCAGATGTTTTAGCCTTCAACTCCCAGAAATCCCAACAGCTGGTAAACTAGCTGAGATTTCTGGGAGTTGTAGGCCAAAACACCTGGGGGCAATGTTTCTGCATAGGCAGAAACCCACAAAAACAAATCTCAACCTGTGAATAATTACCAAAATCAATGTTTGCAATGACTTTCTTAAAGCAGGGTGAAGAACAGTTAAATATGTTAGCATTAAAGCTGCAACAGGGACATGGTTTTGTACTTGTGTATGCATCTGGGTAAAAAAAACTAAATAAAAAGAATATACTATAATTTGGACAGAGTAAAACTTCCCCAACCACCATCATTTCTGTATACATAGTAGGCTCTGGATAGGTCAGTTCTGGATAGGTAACTATTTTAAAGACCAGTGTTTTAACTGATGTTAGTAGAAATTTCTGGAATGGCTGGAAAGAAGGACTATAGATTGTAAAATGGAGATTTGCACTATTTGATAATGTGATTGTATGCCCAACTAATACTGTTTATAAGCCGTGATGAGGTTGGAGGAACACAGCTGTAAGGCTGTTCCATCCTCCAATGTTCTTGAAAGGGAGGTATAATAGCCAGCATTAGTAACACCTTGATCAGAAGACATTGTGAGTATAGTCATACTTATTTCTCAGTGACTGGTCTGCTTTCTTTGATTCATCAGTTACCCTAAATAGATGTGTAAGAAGGAAAACTAAAAATGTAAGAATAAAGAACACTTGCTACTTTCTCTCTCTCTCTCTCTCTATATATATATATATATATAGAGAGAGAGAGAGAGAGAGAGAGAGAGAGATATTCCTTGTGCTACGACTTTCAGTCATAATAAAAATAATCTGTGGGTAGCAAATGTTTGATTCTCTTCTATAAAAATGCTCATGGTTATTTCATTTAGATTTCTTCATGGATTGCAAGAATTGCAAGTAAGAACCCAGAGTTGGTTTCCCGCATCAAAATTGGAAACACCTTTGAAAATCGCCCCATATACCTCCTTAAGGTATAAGATTCTTTTTTGGTCAGTATTCAAAAAATAAATAGGAAGTTTGGTTGCAGGACAGAAATGTGCCAGCATTGTTTTTAATGTCTTTCCAAACATTGTTTTTAAGAACAGGGATGTGGCAAGAATACATGATGTAATGTGTAACTATTTTTTGAGGTAATATTCTCACCCTGAGATCCTTCACCCCAAAGACCAGAGAACAGGGACCCTGTGATTTGAAAACCCTAGTTGTGTTAAATATTTACAGAATTACTTTCTTACAATGCATGTAAATTTTTCCTTCAATTGCAGTGGCAAGTGTGATTTAAATGCAATTTCTGCTGCTTTCTTAGTTCTCAAAAGAGAACTAAGAAAGCAGCAGTTTTATATATAGTTGTGTGGCTACTAAAAGTTGTTCCTCATCTTGGAAACCGTTTCAATAATAGATTGGGAAACAAAAGGATGCAGAAAAGGCCATCTTTGTGGATTGTGGAATTCATGCACGAGAGTGGATTTCACCAGCTTTTTGCCAATGGTTTGTGAAAGAGGTTAGTTGTTAAATGTTCCTTTCCCCTGTATTGTTAAAGACTAAAATGTTAAAATTCTCATATGGGTTTCTCAACACATGAAAACCATGATTTTCTAAATGTTGTTGAATATTCCTTCTATCCCTAGTAGATACATTTCCAGTAGCAACTGAAGACGCTTCCAGGCAGAGCTAAAACCTGCATGGAAATGGATTAAAATAACCCCCTTCTGCATGGGTTCTAGTCCCCACCCCAAATTCTGGGCTTTCCCGGGGGGGGGGGGGAGAGAAGAGAGAGTTGCTACATGCAATCACAAGTTAAATCGGGATGTCATGAAGCCACCCTGAAGCCCCCAATTTCACCACTAAAACTTAACCAATAGTTTGGATGCTTCTGGTAAAACTGAGACATGTCTCAGATTAAAGGCCTATCTGGAAGGGCCCTGAGATAAATCCCAAATTTGCTTGTAATGTCTCCGTGAAAGTATGATGTGATGATACTGGTCCATTATAATATATTACCTGACTTAATGAAAATTGCACCCTCCTCAGCTCTTCATTTTACACAAAGTAACCAAATGAACTGACAGCTAAATCTATTGAATTAACTGATAGGACAACATTTTTCATTTCCACTTACAGGCTAGTTGACTGATTGTCAGTAGCAGGAATTTGGGAAACAGCAAGGTGGCTCTTTTTGCACCTTCCTGCATATTGGTCAATGTCTTCTGCCTGAGCTGGCAACTTCACCTGCCTAATATTATGGCTGATCTTGTCATCTTGGTGGAGTGAGGAAGTTAAACTGTGAATTTACCTCAATCTCATATAATTAAGTAATACCAAGGTATAGAACTGATTCTTAGTGGAGCAAACTGATTCATAATGACTAGGAATTGATTCCATATGAAATCTGGGATAATGTCATAAACAGAGAACAGCAATGCTATGCAGATATAATTAGGAGTAACCCCAACTGAGCATAGCGTTCGAATAATTAGTGCAATGATTGATTAATGAACACTGGAATGGAACAATGGATGACGAATCTGGAACATGTTTTTGATGACGAGACGACAGTGAATGGGTATTGTAGTAACTGTTTATTAATTGTGTAATGTGTTAGGTTGTTAACTGTTTCTATACTGTAGCACTGAATTTTTGCTGTTCGTATTTGTTGTGAACCGCTGTGAGTCACCTTTGGGCTGAGAACAGCGGTATATAAGTAAGGTAAATAAATAAATAAATAAATAAATATTTCCAAGTACAAATCTTGAGGAAAAGCACTCTAACTTAATTTAATTTTTAACTTCTGAATCTGTGTCCTCAGGCCATCAGGACCTATGGAAAGGACAGCAACATGAAGAACATACTGGACAATATGAATTTATACATTGTTCCTCTAGTCAACATTGATGGTTATGTCTGGAGTTGGACTCAGGTAATATGCACAATTTCACTGGAATTTCATATGACGTGTTATATTGCATACAAAAAATATTATGTTATTGTTATATTTGAAACATCAAATGTGTTATCATACCACAGGTTTTTTACTTATACACACAATATAAAGGTACAAATCTTGTCTCTATCGTAAATAAATGTCAGTATTCACATTAATTTCAAATGGGAGACATCAGTCTCCTCTTATTAAACACAATATTTTGACAAGATATGTCTGATAATTCAAACAGTCAGTTTAAAGTGTTATATTGTATACCTTTACATACACAACACAGGCACTCAGAAACCACTTTAGTGAATTGTAAAGATGTATGATATGACACCAGTAAGGTGCCTAATGCTCATCATGTGCAATGTGCATCGATGTGCAATGCATATCACTTTGTGATGCACATCAGTGTGAAATGCATACCCATGTACAATACATATCTACATACCTTGGATATTGGTATATGTTACACACCAATGCTGTGTTAGAGAGGAGCTGCAAGGTTTAAAAGTTGGGATTTTGAGCATTGCTTTGAGACATGGCATAAATACATTTTCATAGCTGTTTTTCCTGATGCAAGATATCAGCCTTTGTGTGGGATTTGTATTCAGAACCTATTTATTCTATTCACAAACAGCAACCAAAAAAAAAAATATTTAAATTCCTCCTTCATTATGTCAAGCAGAATCGCTTTTGGAGAAAGAATCGCTCCAACGCGTCCAGCAATGCTTGCGTTGGTGTTGATCTCAACAGAAACTTTGATGTTACATGGGGCAGTAAGTATACTTTTTGAAGCCATGGTCAACTTAAATTAGATAAAATTAATTAGCTTCCATCTATCTCATTGGCAACAACACTTTACTAGCTAACTTTGTGTGTATATCTGCTTTCAAGTTGCCTACAGTCCTCATGATTTCCATTGAACTTTCTTAGGGAACCTCTGAGTGGTTTGTCAACTCCTATACATTTTTTCTTCAGTGATGGGGAAACCATACTCCACAGAAAGCTATTTATCCAGTAACTCTTTCTGCAGACCATCTGAGGCTGTGCCCTAAGAACCATCCACCATTTCTCTGAGCTCATCCAAAGTGGGCACAATATATTTCCCAGTGGAGAGAAGCCAGTCCTCGAGACCTCCTGAAAAAGTAAAACAAGGAGGCCTTCCTGACCCCACCCCAAAACCCACAAAGAAGTGTCAGAACTAAATGAAAACAGAAGCAAGGTGTTAATTGTGGTTTGCCTTCTGTTACTCATCAACCATGTCTCAGGTGGCTGTACCCACCACAGCCTATCTACTGTAGTTATCCATCTTTGTTGCATAGGCCCACATGTGTGCATATCACATATATGCATATTTTCACTTAAGATTTCTGATCATGTTCAATATTACCATTAGAATGAGAGGGATATTGTTAGTTCTATCTAGTGGTGGTACATGAACCAAGGAGAACATCTTCTGGAAATGCTGGAAGAAAGCACTTTCCTTCCTCTCATTACTCTAATATAATGGCTATAAAAGATGTGTCTGCTTTTAGGTTGTTTCCTTCTAGGTAGTTATTAAATGTGGTTTAGTGGCTTGAGCACTGGACTATTACTCTGGAAAACAGGACTGAAATTCCTGCTCAACCTTGGAAGTCGAATGGGAGACCTTGGACAAGTCACACTTTCAGGCCTTAAAGGAAAGCAATGACAGACCTCTTCTGAACTTGTTCTACAAAAACAGCAGGGTTCATTGACAACTTTTACATCCCATGAAGGTGTGGGAAAACTATAAATAAGAGTAAATTTCCTTCTGCTTCTTGTAGTGTGAATACAGTATTAAGAAGGTTTTCCATTTCTCAACCATTTGAAAGTGAATATTCTTTTCACTGTCAGCTGTTGATGCCTCCAAGAATCCATGTGAAGAAGTGTACTGTGGAACTTCACCAGAGTCTGAACCAGAAACGAAAGCAATTACAACATTCATCCGCAGCCACCTGTCTTCAATCAAGGCCTATCTGACTATTCACTCCTACTCTCAGATGGTGTTGTTCCCCTATGGCTATACTTATGAAAAAGTACCTAACTATAATACACTGGTAAGTTTCTGACAATTTCTACCATTTTTTCTATTATTTGTGTATCAGAACTGTTATTTTTAAAAATCATATTTTAAATCATATAGATCCAAAATAATCTAGGAACATAAGAAGGGCTGTGATGGGTTAGACGAAAGGTAAATCTGGTCCAGTGTTTTGTTTTGACAAAACATGCCTATGAGAAGCCTATAAATAGAATACATTAGCATCCTGCCATTCTTGTTGCCAGCAACTGGTGGTCAGAGAAGAACTTAAACATTATATTTGGCTACAAATACCAAACTTCCACAGCATGCATGGCCACTGGGTGTGAAACTCTGACAATGGTAGTCTAAAAGAAAACTAACAGACCAAAAAAGAAACCTTTTACAAGCTTTGTATGCTATAGTTGAGTATGGTTGCCAAAATGAAACCTGGAGAAATGTCCCCTATTCTAAACAGCCATTAAGGTACAGGAACCCATTCCAGTTATTAGTCAGGCAACACTACATGTTGGAAGAACATCCTTTTGAGCTCAGTGGTACTTCCTTCCCAATAAAGATAGATAGGATTAGTAACATGCTTTAAAAATTATATTACTATAAGGAAGTTATAGAAACTTCCAGGATGAGACCAAAGGCCTGTTTAAATCACTTTCTGTGTCCACATGTGCAGCTATATACCTATAGGTCCATGGCTGACATTCTGTTTAGCAGTTGCAATATCACAAAATGTACTTAACAGTATCATAACTGCTAGAGATGTGTATTTATCACCATAAATGACCACATGTGGCCCCCAAAACATACAGTAACAACCTCTCAGTAGCCCAACCAAAGTGTTTCCAAGGCATGGAGATTGGTACCCTGGAAATGACAACTGCAACATTCTCCCAGTCTCAGGTTATCTTGGGACACACAGTTGTGGCAGGACCCAAGGAGCTCTCCAGCCACCATTTCTCAAGGCGCCCTTGTTACAAGGAGCATGGTACAAGCACCTTATCCCAATGTTCTGATCTCCAGGCTGAGAAGGTAGTTTTAGCAGGACATTGACAATTGAAATTATTGTGATGGAGCTCCATCACCATAATTGTAATGACAGTGACAGATCTCAGACCATGTGTCCTCAGCAAGTGGTATTAAGAAAGTTACTGAATCTAATGTTTAAGATAATAAACAGCCATAGTTGCCACTGAAATTTTATTTAGCCCAACATTTACATTCTATTTTCCATTTGACTTTTGAGAACAGAAACATTTCTTTCCTAATAAGCATCACAGGCCCTTTCTTTTTTAAAAAAAAATCCTTTAGTTTTAAAAGTCTGTTAGAGCAGAAAAAAATCACCTGAAAGCCAGAAAGGAATTCCAGAGCTTGGTAATGTTGCTATTTTTATTTTTACTACGATTTGCTGTTGTTATTCACTTTTTTGCTTCCACTGTCAGAATTCAGAGATACATAAGCATGGATGAACAAATAGGCTTGGCTAGACACTTCTAAACATTTCAGTTGGTTGTAAGAGGGAAATGGCTTTTCATGCATTTCTGCAAACCCATATTTGAGGAAAATGGCACCACAACCTAATAAAGTGAATGAATGCCAGCAGTATCTTGAACATGAGGTAAACAAATGCTGGTTAGATTCTGGTGGCTGAATAGTCACAACTGAAGAAAACATTTTATGTTTTTATTCGGTTTTAAAATCAGATCTCCCTTTAACAAAAATTTTGTTGTTGTTTTTGTTTTAAATTAGAATGCACTTGCAAAGGGAGCTGCCAAAGCTATAGCTAGCCTGTATGGCAAAAAGTATAAATATGGAGCATCAGCATCTACAATTTGTAAGTATATAAATGTGTTCACATAGACATCATTGCCTGAAAGTCAGGACAAGAGATGAACAATAGCAGCTAGTCTGTGGAGAGAAGTGACAGAAGTTCAGATTCAGTCTGCCAAGAAAGGGGTTCTGTTTCCTCCTTCTAAGGAGAATAACAATTGAAACTAAGGGCGCTTCCACATAGCCCTTTATCCCAGGAGCATCTGCATTTAAAAAATGTGGATGTTCCTGGGCTCTTATCCACACCCACCCCAGAAAGCACAGGCTTTCTGGGCTGGGTGTCCAGATGTTTTTCTGGGACTGGCCTGGGAGGGCACCTGGAGACTCAAACCCCTCCCCCAAAACCCTAAAATCCCTTTTAAAATGTGAGGAAAACTTACCTGGCCACCAATAGAGTGTTACCAGAGCTCTCCTGGTGCATAGAAATGGCACACCAGGAGAGCGAGGGGGAAGTGATCCCCCCCCCTCCTCGGCTCTCCTGGCGCATCATTTCCGCATGCCGGGAGAGCTCCCGCAACACTCTACTGGAAACCAGGTAAGTTTTCCTTACTTTTAAAAGGAGTTTTAGGGCTTTGGGGGAGGAAGTTGGGAATCCCACAGTTTTCCGGACTAATTTAGTGGATTTATCCCACGTCTTCCAAGAAGGTGCAGACTAAATCCACTATCTAATTAATTCGCCACAAACCAGAGTTTTCCTGGTTTGTGGCAAATTAATTGCAGGTTGCCCAGAATGTCATCTGGACAGCTCCCTTTTTATTGTAGAAGTTTCCGCAATAAAGGGGCTGTCTGGATGCACCCTAAACTGCATTTCTCTCCCCAGAGAAAGGACTCTGTCCCCTTTCTGTGCAGAAACTTGGCTGCAGTTCTGTCCAGATAGACTCCTTTCTCAGCAAAGAGAAGCACGGGTCGACTTACATCACGTCTCTCCACAAAGGAAAGAGATGTACTCCTTTCTTGCCAGAGAGAGGGGTATGGCTCCATGCTACCAGGCTTCCAGCTAAATTTGACAACCAGGAACAGGTTGCTTTTGGGAGCTCAGTGAAGGCAATCTGTGTCCCAACAGATGAGTCTTCTTTTCAGCTATTCTCATCTCTACAGTGCAGTAGGTAAGGAAAGGGAATATTCTGATTGCACTGTACAATATTCTTTCAGCAGCAAGATGGCTGGGAAGAAGAATTCTAGATATTGCAGAAAAATTATAGTAAGGGAAGCATCGTGTAATTGCTGCCTCACATAATATATAAGCCTGTTTCTTTGATAAGCACCCTGTCTTTCTCCTGGCAAGGGACTCAATCGGTTATTTGGCCACCTATGCCAGCATTATTTTGCCTTACAACAGCTCTCTGGGGTTCCTGGGGTCTTTTAAATAATTTGCAACCTGGTTTTATTTCTTGTCTGGACATGCCAAGAATATGTTCTGATACCTCTTCCTGAAAAGCCCGTTCTTTGCTGTTCAATTATATCCCCCTCACCTAAACCATAATGATAAATAAACAGATGTTTTCCCTTCATTTATACAACCACAGAATTTTAATCTCTGTTGTTGTTGTGTTTTTTCCTGGCATATTATCTGTAGCACCAACTTATTCTGTTGCCATGTTTTGCAGATCCTTCTTCTGGCTGCTCTGATGACTGGGCTTATGATCAAGGAATCAAATACTCCTTCACCTTTGAGCTTCGTGACAAGGGCAAATATGGGTTTCTCCTCCCTGAAACTGAGATCAAGGAAACGTGCCAAGAAATCATGCTGGCAGTGAAATTCCTTGCCAACTATATCCTGAATCAGACTTAATGCAGACTAGAGTTTTCTGGTGTACTGCAGAGGCTTGAAAATAAAATAAATGCATATATCACAACAAGCAGGTTTATGGAGAAGTGTTTAGGGAACTTTGTATTAATCATGGATTTGGGATTCCTTTGGGACCTGGGTTCTGGAGGCTGCAAAACATCCAGGCCCTTTCCTATTCAAGTATAGCAGCAGTTTTTAAATCTTATGATTAGTCCCATCTCCCAATCCTACCATTCTTTTCCAGTTACTAGGATGTAACTGGACCGTTGTGAGGAAAAAAGAACGTTATCTTCATTTTCATCTTAAACAGATCAGATTTTGGGGACAGCTGTTCAGTATTCCCCTCTTTTTGGATAATGTATTATACCCTGTCTTTCTCAACATGGGATCCAAGGTAGCTTAAAACAAAGTATCTCTAAAAAACAGATTGTTAAAAAAGTGGGATCCAAGGTAGCTTAAAACAAAGTATCTATAAAAAACAGATTGTTAAAAAAGTTTAAAATTTTAATAAGCTTTCCTGTTAAATACAATCATATACAATACTCCAAATGTCATTGCACCATGTATTTCTATAGCTTGATGCATCATATTGTTAGTCTCTCAAGAACCATCACAAAAAATAGCGAGTTTTTAGAAAAAAATGTATGACAATGCATATATATTTTATTGAGAGGGAGGACATTTAATATACCTAGGGCTTTGGTCTTCTAGGCACTTTCCAGTTGCTAAATATTCTAGAATTAAATCAACAGTGACATCTTGTGGGCACGATTGAGCATAATATGATATATTGCTTTAAAATAAATGTTCCTGAGAGCACAGGGTTTTCTTACAACCCACAGATGTATAGTTAGATTAGGATAAGGAAAACAGGGATCATATCTGATAGATTTCATCTACATATATCTGTAATCGAAGATGAGCAATATAATGAATAAATAGAAGGTTTTAAATCAATGCACTAAATGTAAGCAAAGATCTCCCCAAGGAGATTCTCAAGTTATCTACACTAATATGTTTTCCATGCCAAACAATATCTTTCTATTCTCCCAAGCCAACTTTCCACTGTAACAAAATTTTAAAATATTTATTTAAAGGGGCCATGTAAACATTCAATAAATACTTTTAAATTCCATGAAGATTTTAAAAATCAGAAATGCAAAACATTTTTAGTGATGTTCTTCAACACAACATATTGAATGTCTGCAAATCCAATTTATGATGGTCCTTGGTTGAATCTAGCATAGGATTTTCCTGACAAGATTTGTTTGGGGAGGGGTGTTGCCACTATCTAAGTTTTTAAAATTATTTTGTTAATACATTTTCACAATCAATTAAAAGTTTAAAAAGCAAAGATAAACTCTAAAACAAGAACCCCATAATGTCCCACCCATCATTTCTCCCATCCTTACCAACACAGACTAACAACAAGCCTCTATTTCCCTGTTTAATAATGAAAAAGAATATGACAGTAAAATAATAAGGATACAAACAAAAAAATTAAAACACAACCGACCTTTCCCCTCCCCACACGCAAATACAATTTATATATAACCACAAGTATTTTCATTTTGTTGAGTGATATCAGCTACCGCAAGAACCAGGGGTTCAGGACCTGGCGTATCAAGCTCCAAGGGTTGAATGAGACATAGACAGGCTAAAGGCAAAGGAACAGAGGTGCTCATTCACTTTGGCCAAAACAGAGTCTTTGCTCTGAAGATTGGCATACTCCAATACAGATATACTGAAATATTTGTAGGACTTTGAGAGCAGTTAGAAACAAAGCACTTTTGCCACCCAGAGTGCTGATTGGCTCAGCCCAGGGTTGCCTAGGATCCATGCATTGTTGTCTGAGACTTGCCAGCTTTGGCTATTGCTGATTGGTTTATTGGTCTGGCGGGAGCTTTAATACACTGTCATTGCTCAATTTGAAGTCTTGTGGCTATTTTCTAGATCTGTCTTTGGTGGGTGAGGAAGGAAAGGAATACAGGTAGGGTCTGAGTCAATGGGGGCTAATCGCTTTATTCTTGTTTGCCTGGAGTACGGCAGTGAATTCTGGCTACCTAAAAAACTGAACCCCCGGTGGCGCAGTGGGTTAAACCCCTGTGCCGGCAGGACTGAAGACTGACAGGTTGCAGGTTCGAATCCAGGGAGAGGCGGATGAGCTCCCTCTATCAGCTCCAGCTCCTCACACAGGGACATGAGAGAAGCCTCCCACAAAGGTGATAAAAACATTAAATCATCCGGGCATCCCCTGGGCAACGTCCTTGCAGACGGCCAATTCTTTCACACCAGAAGCAACTTGCAGTTTCTCAAGTTGCTCCTGACATGACAAAAAAACCTAAAAAAACAAGTGGCCAGGGTGTTGGCATGGCCTGAATGAATTTCCAAGGAAGAGGTTTGATCAGATGCTTGGACTCTGAATGGGTTCTCAGGGATAAGGTCTGCTTGTGTGTTGGATAATTTCTGCGATCTTTGACTTGGCTCCATTGCTAGGAAGGTAGAGGTATTGTTAGAGGATTATGCTTGCAGCCTGAAGGGTTTCCTATGTTCCACCCTGGTGAGTATGTGAGTGCTTGTGAAATGTGTATGTCCAGGCTAAAAGTCATCTGTGAAAGTTAGGCCAAATTAGGCTTTTGGATGAAAAGTCTCCTTGAACTTGGCTATTAAGACCTGAGGGTTTTGGGGTCCTCTTTGAAGTCAGCAACTTATCCATTTTGACTAAAATGCATTTTTTTAAAATAAATTTGTATAAAGTTACCTTCATATTGCACCAAATTGTATTCCCTTTTAATTTTAATCATATCTTTTCTTAGCCCGTTCCTGTTTTTGGCACTGTTGAAAAAGTTGAAGGAAACTTCCATTTGGGGAGCAGTATGATTACTGGGGGGAAATTGCCCTCCTTTGGTCCTCCACACATATATCCCCAGAAAGGAGGATTTCTCTGGACAGGCAGCTCTCAAAGCCTGGTGCCACATTGTCTCATCACTTTGTTGCACTTTTAAAAGTTAACTTAAACCCATAGCATAAGAGCGATGCAGAGCGGCCCATCAGGTAACCCTGCCATTTGGTCCCAAAAGCAAGGGGTTTGTGGAATTGGCCAGCAAGCTACAATCTCTATCTATAAATCTAATTTTAGCTTGGTAAGCTATTTAGTGGCTATGTTTTTCTTTTAAAGCTTCCAAGACAAAAGTTAATTATTTATTTGTTTGTTTATCTGAAAAATTTATATCTAGTCTTCACCAACAGCTCATAAGGAGGTTTATGACATATTTAAAAGACAGTATATCAAAGCATCCCATATTAGATATAGTACATTAGAACCAACAAAATTTTCAAAAAGCAAGATGACCAGTCAATCATCATAAAGCCCATGCCCAAAAAAGTTTTACTTGCTGTTTGATGAGGCAGCAGCATAAGTGCAGAATTTAAGATCATTTGGAAAGGGAAGTTCTACAGACACGGAGCCGCCACTACGAGGGCAGCCCTTTATTTCACTTTTGAAAGTGAAGCCACTCTGAGTTGGGCATCTGATGAAAATATAAAAACTTGAAATAAATACTTATTTAGCTCATTTGTATATTAATTCATTTTTTTCCTAGAGAAGAATTCATTATACATATTTACTTACTCAGGTGATCCCTTGTTATCCAAGTATGATGGCCTTCCAAGTGTAGTGTCATGGCCGTGGATATGTAGGTGACTGTGGAGCCCTATTCTTGATCCACATGTTTTTCCACAGTGAGGGCATCAGTTTCCAGGTAGAAGGCAGTCCCGGTCAGGGTTGGCTTGATGCACCTTCCTCTTGGAACTTTTCTCCCTTTCATCCTCCATTCATCCCTCTTCGAATTCCACAGCATTGCTGGTCACAGCTGACCTCCAGAATAGATTACTGCAGCACACTCTACGTGGGGCTGCCTTTGAAGACAGTTCAGAAACTGCAGTTAGTCCAACGGTCGGCAGCCAGATTACTAACAGGAGCTACATACAGGGAGCATACTACCCCCTTGTTGTGTCAGCTCCACTGGCTGCCTGTCCACTTCCGAGCTCAATTCAAAGGGCTGGTTTTGACCTATAAAGCTCTATGCAGTTCTGGCCCAGCTTACTTGTCTGAATGCATCTGCCTCTACGTCCCACCTTGTAACTTAAGATCATCCGAGGAGGCCCTACTCTCACTCCCACCAACATCGCAAATGCGGCTGGCGGGGATGAGAGACAGGGCCTTCTCAGCTGTAGCCCCCCACATGTGAAACGCGCTTCCAAATGAAATACGATCAACCCCATCCCTCCTGGCATTCAGAAAGAAATTAAAATCTTGGTTTTCAGACAATAAACTAGGCTTTCAGACAATAAACATAAAGCACCACTTTGACTGGAAATGGATTGGCAAGACAATATATATGAGGATATGGTTTTATTGTTCTATCAATGGGTTTGTGGACTGAGTATTGTTTTAATGAGTATTATGATAATTTGGTTATAATTAATTGCTATTGTTTTAACCCTGTATGTATTTATAGTTTTATACTGTGTTATTGATTTGTGGCATCGAATTGCTGCCTTTGTTAGCTACTCTGAGCCCCCCCCCCCCCCCCGGGGGGGTGTTGAGAAGGGTGGGGTAAAAATCCTGTAAAATAATAATAATAATAAAAATAATATAATAATAATAATATTGGAGCACTCAAGGGCCAGGGCTTCACAGGTCTTGATGTCTATGCCACAGTTTTTAAGGTTAGCTTTAAGCCCATCTTTAAATCTCTTTTCCTGTCCACCAACATTCCATTTTCCATTCTTGAGTAGAGCATATAGTAATTGCTTTAGGAGACAGTGATTGGGCATTTGGGCTACGTGTCCAGTCCAGGAGCATTGCTTCAATGCTGGTGGTCTTTGCTACTTCAAGCATGCTGACATTTGTCTGCCTGGCTTCCCAAGAGATTTGTAGGAATTTTTTTTTTTTGAGGCAATGCTGTGGGAATCATTCCAGGAGTTGAGTGTGACGTCTGTAGACAGTCCACGTTTCACAGGCATATAACAGGGTTGGGAGGACAATAGCTTTATAATCCTAGAGAA